TGTGTTGTTTGTCCTGACTGAATGCCAGTGAAACATGTAAAAGGTGCAACATGTTTTCATACAAGATTTAAGATCTTTAACAATTAGTTAAATACTTAAAAATATAATATTTTTCTTGATAAGGATTAATGACAAAAATAAAGACTATATACTCCTATAGACACTGTCCTGTAAGAAATCCAGATTTATAATACATGTTGATAAAACAGCAAACATGCAGACACACAGAAATAACACTAGACCTTCAAAGAGTCCCTGTTTTTTACACGAACTCCACCATCTTCCTTTTCTGCTGCTATTTCTTGGAGAAGGTGAATTGGTTCACTTCAAGACATAAAAACGACTGCTTTGAATCTCAGTTGGTGTTATCTTACCTGGCTAAAATACTGGAATAAAAACCAAAGAAACCTAGTTCTCACTTTTGGTTCTTGAAATCAATGAAAGAACTCGCAGGTATCTGTACTACTTCCCTGAAAAGTATTTGAATGATGGTTTAAATTTTCCATATGACGTTGTGTAACATGATTTCCCACCACAAGGTACTTCCAAGGTATTTCCAGTGTCAGAGTCACGCCTAAACATGATGTGTTGGGGTTTTGTGTGTGTGTGTGTTGCAGGAACAGGGAAATCTTTTGTCCCAGGATACCTGATCCTTCAACAATATTCAAGGAAATGATGATGACTGGAAACAGAGATTCTAAGGTATATACTTGAAAAAAAAAAAGTCTAGTCAAATGCTCTTTCTGTCCTCATAAATACTCATTTTTACACTGCTGTGTTTTTCAGCCCATCCCTGGAAATCTGTACACACCGGTGCCAGAACCCACTGAACACATCATCCTTGTATCTGAAAACATGATTCCTGAGGAAGCCTCCTAATCACACATGTTCAGAGGAATGTGCAGATGGACTTGAAGGAACATATACATAGTAACTTAACAGCAGGTTGAAAACATTTAGTTTCACTTGCCTTTTTTCGGTTGAAAGTTTCATACCTGTTGCAGGTCCGACGTGTGCTGTGTGGCACCTCTGCTGCACTGGTGAACACCTGTGTCCGTGTTTGCATAAAAAGGAATTTCACCTGCTAATAAGTAACTCTGTGGGACAGTGCAGATCCACGCTGATTGAGCGTGCTGTGGACAGGATAAAGAAATGCAGTAAATCTTCGGAATTTGCTTCAGAAAAGCTGCCCGACCGTGGACCCAGAAATGTGAGTGGGATTGATATCCTCATGCTGAGGCAGAGGAAGATAAGGGGAGGCTTTGCATTCCCGTTGGAAAGAGAAGACCAGAGGAGGCTGATTCATCTGGAAGCAGTTCTAGTGGTAACAAGAGCTGACTTTTCCCTGGATATCTGCTGTCACTCATAAAATGGAAAGAAAAACAAATGTAATCTTGTCACAACATGAACCTTATTTGTACAAATGAAAATTTGACTGCCATCCTGAGTCACCTGTGCAGGAATTAACTAGGAGGCAAAAAAAAGGTAAAAAGGTAAAAAGGTAGCAAAAAAGCCCCAAACTGTAGAAAACATGTCGGGATGAGAGCACACTGCTGGGCTTTAGTGCTGGGTGACTGCGACAGCCTACGTAGACTTCTCTGTTTTACCATTGTTGGTGCATGTGAAAAGAACTTTCACCTTGTCCGTCTAAATATTCACTTGCATGAACTCTGCTGGCAGACATGTTTTGGATGGCATTTTCTTACTAAAGTTAAGCTGTATAAAAGATCTTTGATGTGGCATTAAGAGTTTTCTGTCTTTGTACAAACCTTTCAAACTTTGTAAAGAGAGAAGTGATGTAAGTACTTCAAGAACTGTAAACATCTGAACATATAATAAAATAATTACAAACTTCGACGTCACACTGTCAACTCTGTGTAGCGCTATTTTGACTTGGCATTTAACACAACCAAATGGAAATATCACCTTGAGAGGTAAATGCTCTTCCTTGAAAAGGAAGGAAGGAAGGTGAAGTCCAAAGTAGCTCTAGGGGAAATGGGGGGCTTCCAACACAACTTTTGAGCTTTAGAGACTTTTTGAGAGAGATTAAAAACATGGATTTGTTTGGGGGAGGGAAACATGTGTGTTGATCTGTGTTTTGGATGTGATAACGTGGAACCCGCTCAGCCTTTCTTGTAATAGTTGCTCAAACAGAAATGAGCAGCTTGTCTCAGCATCTGGATGTGTGTATTTTCAGTGGGCAGGTATTAACTTGAATCATTAACATGTTTTTGTAAACTGGAGGTTGCAGGGGGAGATACTCCCTGAGGATACAGAAGCTCAGTTTTTCAGCTTGTTCTTAAAACAATAGTCAGGTTCCTGTATGAGCACTGAAACAGGATCTCATGATGTAAGTGAAGAAGGGCAGAACAATAACGCTCTTTCTAAAGCTTATATGAGGCTTCAGACACCGAGTTTGGGTTTTTTATCATTTTTTTTAATGCTCAACCTATTTTTCCCTTTTTGGCTGCTGTGAAGTCATAGCAAACAAAAATAGGCTTTAAATAAACTGACGCATTTGCGTGAAATCTTTAAAAAGTGAGGCCATTGCAATGGAGCCGTAAACCTGCGCTTTGTTCTACTGGCCAGCAGGGGAAGTGGTTGCAAAAACAAGTCTATAAAGGTTTTAGGCTGGGCATGTGGGTACTGTATGAGCACACGGTGTCTGTTTATCAGTCAGATCCAGCCCTGCCCAGCTGATTTCAAAACACTGAGATGACAATGACAAAGAACTTTTTTCACCCCACTAAACCATGTATTGTGCCACAGACGACAGTCCATTTTTATAAGTCTTTGCTTGAAGGTATAAGAGTGGCTGTCCATGCTCTTTCACCGCCTGGGGAAGAGGGTCAGACATCAGTTATTCATTAGTTACACATAGCTAGTAGTGGGTTGAACCTCTTTTTGCCATCAGAACTGCATCCGTTCTTCATTGCATAGATACAAGATGCTAGAAACATTCGTCAGAGATTCTGGTCCATATTGACACAACAGCATCAAATCTGCAGCAAATTTGATGGCCGCACATCCATGATGTGAATCTCCTGTTTAGCCACATCCCAAATATGCTCTATGAGACAGCGATCTGCTGACCGTGATGATCATTTGACTCATCGTTATGTTCAAGTTTAAGTTTACGATGTTTTAGACCAGTTGGGCTTTGTGATAGGGCGTGTTGTCCTGCTGGAAGAAGATGGGAACACTGTGGTCTTAAAGGGATGGACATGGCCTGCAACAATTCTCAAGGAGGCTGTGGCAGCTAAATCAACATTTGGCTAAAAAGAAAAAGCCTGAAGTGTCCCCAAAATGATCCCCAAACCATAACACCACCACCAGAACCCTGAAATACCCATACAAACCAAGATGAATCCACGCTTTCATGGTATTTGTTCCTAATCTTGACCCTACCTCTCAGATTATTGAAGAAGTCTTTTGACCTTCCTCATTTGCACATCCTCAATTTCTCTCCTCCCCCTCCTGTCTCTCAAGAACGTATTTCATTGGTCAACATAAACCAACCACACGTAGCATGAAGATAATGGACATATAAGTACATAATTTTATGTGGGTGTCAAACATTTAACCTGTGTGCTTTCAGTTTTTGAGAGGACAAAGGAATAAGACTGATGGGCAGAAAAGCGGAAATCTCAAACATGTTTTATCCACAATAGCACAAAGAAAACATCAGATGAGTGAACTGAGACGCTTTACTGTTTCATGAAAAGAAAAATATGAACTTGAATTTGTTGGCACCAGCTATTTCCAGGTGAATTTTCAAAGAGGCAGAGTTCCTCCGAAGAAAAGATTCCCTCGGTTCCCATTTACATCTGTACTGTTAAACAGTGTCTCAACATTTTTTTGGGAATTTTGCACCACAGCGGCATTTACTCAGAAACTGCAGATATCTACGAAAACTAGTGAGGCAGGCAGCGAGGAAACTACTGTAAATATGCTCATACATGACGTGACCTTGCTTCCCACCTGCTGTCAAAATTGTGTGACTTTCTCACTGCCAAGAATGACATGAGAGGTGTTATTTTTCTATCTATTTTTTTTTAAACTAATGTATCAACAATTAATTTAGGTGTACAGCCACGGCATGCACTGCTAACATGTAAAAAACATGAAATATGAAGGTACAAGTTTTACAAGACATCATTAAAATATTATTTGCATGCACCACGGTGTAATGGTCACAGATGGTAGCTTTGCAAAACAGAAAACTGTCTCTTAATGTTGCGACACGCTGAAACATCTCAAGGTTACAATAACAATAGCATGTGTTGAAAGCAACAACAGCTGTTGTTCCCGTGTGCCTTTTGCTCATAAATACGTGATCGCACTCAGGACACCAGGTCCTATACAAGGCGTCACAAACTAAAAATGCAATGACACAACATTTCAGACAATGCAGCATTAAAAAGGTCACTGATAAACTTGGATAGAACAGCATAACAAGAAATCTGATCATGTTGTCTTCTTAAATAACTGAACATCAAATTTACAGTAAAATATTGTTTTTAAAAAATAAAGTTTTAATCCTGTTGGAGTGATGCTTGTGAATGACTTGTGCAAACCTAGTGTTGCTAGCTGTCTACGCCTGCTTGGCTGCAAGAAGACCATGTTAGTCTACAACTGGTGCAGAGATGCAGAGCCTGATGTAAGCACATGGTTACACTGTGTTGGTGTATTGTGACCTTTGTGCTGCCCTCTTCAGATATCTCAGGCAGTCGCGTGTAAATACTTCAGGAAAGTAAACACTCGGAAAGCTCCTGGACCAGACAACATTCCAGGTCGAGTTTTCAAAGCATGT